GCAGCTCAGCTCGGGCCGGGACTCGAACCGCTGTTGCTCAGAGCTCAAACTCTTGAGCGAGCTCTTAACCAACTGAGCCACTTGGCCGGCCCTAAGTAATATTTTTAATAATCAATTACAAAGGGGAGGGGCCCAAAAAAACAAATGAAAAGATAAAAATGAAAACCAGTCTGTATCTTCAATAGGAACCACTACCATACTTCCATTACCGGGAAGCGCAAGAGTTCTGACTTTTAAAATGTGGAGAAAAAAATTTTAATTTTATAAATCAAATTGTAATCATTAAAATAAGTACACTTTTGCATTAGTTCCTCCCACCTTCCCTTTTTCTGGGAGGGGGAGAGGTAGGGTCAGAGTAGAAGTGGGCAAGTCCTTGACTCCCTATATGAGTCTATAGAAATAGTCTGAGCCTTTTCTTTGCTCCAACTCCTTTTTGAAAACAGAGCTACTATTGTACAACTGGGAACTGTAACCGGCCAGTCTGGACAACGTTCAGAGAGGGCTGTAGAAACAGAGCTGGGGTCTCCAATGATCATGTTCAATGTGGCCTCAAGTAAACTTAAACTGTACACACAATACTTTAAAATTAGACTTACTACTACTTCGAAACACTTCATACTGTGACTTTATATTTCTCAAACAAGATTCAAAGTCATCTTCTGGTCCTGAACTGTAATAAAAGTGAAATAATCTTTTTAAATATTCACAGCAAACGTAACATAATGTATACTTAAGTTAATGAAGCATTTTGGCTTGAAGCTGTATCCCACACAAATGCATAATTACTTTACAATCAGAATAACCGAATGAAAATAGGTCTTAATCTTCTTGATGCTAGCAATAAATAAAAAGTAGCAAGGTTTTGGTGAATCCTAATGCCAAATGTCCAATGCTGAGCCATAAAGTCCAATCATACAATTTATAATAATGAAGCAAGGATGAGGTGGTCTGAATGAGTAGGAAACCCTCATGGAAATGTGACATAAAAATATGTCTTCCAAGAAAGGATCACACATAAAGTCTGCTGTAAGAAAAGAGAGGGGCTAAGGAAAACAGCAAAAACGAAGGCATAAACAATTCCTCCAAAGGCATCCAGTGTGCTATTGCATCATTTCCTGTACAAAAAATGCGACCACTCTTAAAAATGCAATAATGTCAATTTAAACAAATGATGATCACTTGCCAACGTGAAGAAAGCCAATGTTCTCAGAATTCTCACAAGGCAGTGTCTTTGAGAAGCAATAATTTTTCAGGGAGCACAAAGCATGAGTACGTGTACGAATGTGCAGAAGGAATTATGCTCTCTGGGAATAACATGTTCAGCACGAAGAGCAGTGTGTCTGCTACTCACCTTTGGTGCTCTCCGCCGTTGGAGGGATGGCTTTGCTGCACAGCTCTGTGCCTTTCCTGCTGTGGAAACAAAAAGCAAAACAAAATCACTCTATATATTACATTTGTTAGAGCCACCCATGCTTTCTAGTTTCTAAAAAAAACTTAAGAAGGTGCTCTATGGAAGTCTTTTTCCTTCAATTCACCACTGTCCATTTCTGCATTCTCTTATTCCTGGGTAGGAGCTCTCTCAGTTTATCAGTGTAGGATCCGTAAATGGTCAGAATATTCAGTGTTTTAAAAAATAACCTAAAAACCAGACGTACACACACACACACACACATCTCCTCAACAGTCTCACTGCACCTAGGACTTCTAGTACCCGGAAGGATGAGGGGCAAGAATGGAATAGTTAAAACAGCGTGTGAAGGTCTGTTCAGGGTGAAGTGAGTAGCACAGATGTGGGGACCTGGCAGGGGTGTGGCTCTGACAGTTATTAGCTGTGTGTCCCTGGCATGTCCTTTACTTTCTGCTTCTTCATCTGTAAATTACAGAGGCTGTGATACCGCTCCAGAAACTCATAGGGATATTGTGAAAATCAAATGAATTTGCATGTATCTGTATATCTTTCATTTTGGTATATGTTGTACAGCATACAGACCGTTATGTGTCCTGTTTATGTAGTCAGGAAAGAGAAAACTCAGATGACCCAAACAGATGCTGCATATGAACTGCTCTCAGTCTTTGGAAGGCGAGCAGTAGAGAATAGATTATAGTAAAAAGAGCTGACTAAATTAAACCAGAAAAATAGTTTTACTTCTTAGAAGGTGAGTTAATTTTTAAACTTTCCCACTATTTAGTATTGAAACACAAAACAAAACACTCCACACATAATCTAATTATTCTTCTGCAACACACACACATCGAGAGTGAGACAAACGACACAGAACTCGCACAGCAGTATGACAGACACGGTTTCTCATTTTCTCTAAGTGGCCTCTGCACTGCGGCAGTAGCAGCTCCCACAGGCAGAGTGTACAGAAAGACACTGAGGTCACCGGCCGAGAGGCGCTCCCTGGGCCTGAGCTCTGGCTCTACTGTTTACTGGCTACAGAATCTCAGGCAAGTGTTTCACCCTTCTGTCCCTGATGTCCTCGTCTGTAAGACGGGGACCATAAACACTCGTGTCGCCTAGGACAGGACTCAACAAGGTAAATCATGGAAACCACTGGGAACAGTCCTGACGCGTAGCTGGGGCTCCGTAAGTGCCTGCTTGGCATTCCGGTAAGGCCGTGAGATTATCAGCACGTGGCAGGATATTAGATCTGTTACCTTCTCTGACAACATGCCCACAGTATCTCAAGACCCAAAGACACAAGAATGAAGGTGAGAAACATTCGACATCCCAATGTGGCAAAACTGTCCAGCGTCCAAATTTTAGGAAGTATGAGAAAGTCTAGCAATTCAAGGACTTGTTTTTTTAAAAAACCCTCACAGAAATAAAGTAAAAAAGGCTAGTTTTGTACCGTTTGCGTCTAAGAGTATATTGATTCTTCCAAAAGAATACGGGATTTTAGAAAACTAAAACTGACCTTGGGGATAGACCAGAGTTGGCCTCCGCTAACCCAAAGCTAAGAGCATTCATAACCGAGCATATAATCTGATGCCATTTCCAGCTGTTAAAAGTTCAGCCCACTTGCCTTAAAGTTCCTAAAAATAAGGGTATAACTACATTTGCTGGTCAACAAGAAGCCCCTGACTCTAGGGGGAGAAAGTCCCAACTAGGATTTGTCAGAGGGACTCGGGAAAAGCAGCCTGGCACACGCTGGGTCTCCCCTCACCTCCGAGAGTTTTCGGCGCCTGGCCGCCCTGGCTGCTTCACGCTGGGCAGCGTATAAAGCTTCTTCTTCTAGTCTTAACTTCTCTTCTCGTAAGGCTAACTGGACACGAACAAAACAGTAAGGGTTAACAAAAACCAGAACCTGTCTAACTGCTCTAAAACAGAAGGTTCCTATTTACAAAATAAAAAATAAATGATTAAAAACTGATCTCTCTACAAGCACAATAGAATTAAATTTTTCTGAGTTCTCATTTCAATTTCTCCTTTCTCAAAATAACTCAAATGGTATCAATCATATCAGAGAATTAATTCTCCAGAAGCCGAAAACGTGACATGGTAGCATCTAGTTTGCATAAACACAAAACTGTTTCTTTCTTAGAATATGCCCTGATCTTAAGTCTCCACCATCGTTCCAACCCTACCGCCGGGCTAGTGCCATGGTGCTGACCCTCCCAAGTTCAAGGTCTTTAAAACTGAGGCTGATCACATCCCCACCCACCAAAGTGAAGTACGTTTTCACAGAGTCCCATGTCTCCCGAATTGTATTACTATCATGTTGTTCAAAAATTACTTTCAAACTGAAGTTCTTACAATTCGTAAGAGCACACAAACTGCTTTAGTGACATCCTAGTGCATTTCAAATAAAACTTAAGCATTAAATTTCAACACAAATTTTTTTCTTTAGCCTATATTATTACCTATTATAGATTACCTATTGTAATTACAGGCCAGCCGTGAACACATTAAAATAAATACAACATTCATGACTGTTAGAAGTACTTGGCTCACTGACTAACAAATAGATCGAGACAAACAAAAAGACCTTTAAAAAACCCATTTATTGTGAAATAGTAATTTTTCAAAGTTGGTTTTAAACACAAGGGTGCATGTATCCCGCCAGAGCCCTACTTGGGAATTACAATAGGCTTTTTAGGAGAACGTATCTTACTCATTTTTGGCAGCATGATTTCTGATAAATTAAACCAAACTAAAACAAACTATAGTAGGCTGAAATTCTTTTTCTAACTTTTAAGTAGCTTTCAGTTGTATATATCTAACTATAGGTCCAATGGCTTCGATGGCAATATATTACTTTAATGACAACTTTCCCCTATAAACAGATGTTTTATAATATACATGTAAGCGACAGAAAAGGCTACTTACCTCTCTTTGAATTTTCATATCAAGATCTTTCTGCTTTTCGGCAATAGAATCATAATGCCTCTCTCTCAGGTCAACAATTTCTTCCTCAGTAAGAGGCCTACAGAGAAAAATGAGGGAGAAAAAGAAAGAAAAGAAAAAACTTCTGATAAGCCTGAGTCCAAATAAAACCAGCGAAATTCTGAACTTTTACTATAAAAATGTATTAAAGCAATGTGGTGCTGTAACTTCGTTATAGGAAAAAGCATGCATTCTAATACTTTTGTCTCGGTAGAGCGCTGAGGAAGATGGGACATTATCTGAGCACTGCACCACCCTTAGGAAATGTGACCCCGTGTACTTTCACGGTGGCTCTGCCTCAGCCTCTGACCCCCTCCCCAGGACGTCCACCACAACACACACTAGGAGCCCACCCGCTCACGCCTGGCCTCACGTCACCCACGAAGCGTGGGCGCCATGGCAGGCCTGCACCATCTTCTCACCAGCAGACTCACCTCCTCGCAGTACCATCCTTGTGCCTGTCACCCAGTTTCCTCCCTCTCTGCCCGTGGACCCTGCCGAGAGCTACTAGAGAAAATGCCCCATCGAGGTGGCCCTTTCCGCTCACATGCAGAATGCGCTCTCACCAAACCCCTTCAATATTTTCACATAACCCTAAGTTCCCTGTTCAAATGCTTGTCTCGTAAAAGTCAATTTCGCTCCTCTTTGAGAAGCAGGGAGTATCAACCTCCAATTCCTTCAAATTCTTGCCACTCCTCCTCTAACTGAAGTCTACCCTCTAAAGAGGGGTCTTCTTAACCTGTTGGGGGTCCTCGGCTGCACTCACACTCTCCCTTCCTTCACCACAGGCGCCCCATTCCGGAGAGTTCTCTGTGGCTCTGCTCCACCAAGCAGCACTTCCCTCCATCGCTAGCCTACTCTTTTTGCCTGTATTCCCCTCACTTCCATGGGAAGGAAAGAAGAAAGGAAGAAGGAAAGCCCTTCATTGACCTCTCTCTATCTCTAGGTTCTCCTTTCTCATTTCCGTTTCAGCCAAAACTCCAGAAACTAAATGTACAGCAGCACATCTAGCACTTACTAGAGTCAGGCTCTCTGCTTTGTGCTTCACATACATGAACTAGTTTTAATTCTCACAACGACCTTAGGAAGTAGTTATAGAGATTACACCTACGGGGGCAATGAGGCGAAAGCAGATTAAGTCACATGGTCTGCGGCAAAGCTACAATTTGAACCCTAGCCGTCGAGCCCCTTGCTCTTAACTACTGCGTGTCTCTTACCCTCTGCCCTCACCGCCCACCTTCTCATCAACTCGGAGCGGCTGCCTCTGCTCCCACCTCTCTAAGAATTCTAGCAAAGGTAATCCATGGCTTCTATGGTGCCAAGTGCAACACGGTCTTTTTTTGTCCTATCCCTTTGGTTCATGCGACAGTGTTGACTGTCCCCGCATCCCGCCGGCCGGCACATCTGTCTCCACCTCCTCCCTGGTTTTCCACGAGCTCCTGGGTCTTTTCGCCCACTTTGTCTGGTTGTCTTCAGACTCCTCTTCCCTTGTCTGCCCAGTCAGCCCTCAGACCACTGCTCACTCTGGGCTCCAGCCAGCTCTCCCTGCCCCAGTCCTCAGGCCTCAGGCGGGTGATGTGGATAACTACCACGGTTCCAACCAGCCATGCAGGAGGCAATGTCTCTCACTTCTGTTCCTCTGGCCCTAACTTCCGCCTAGGGCTTTTTGTTTTTGAGGTATAACTCACATATACTAAAATACAAACTTCAAGTGTTGAGTTCGTTAAAGCTCCCCTGTGCGTCTTTCCAGACAACCCTCCCACTGTGTTCATTCAATTCCTTCTGTCCAGAAGGCTCTCCCTGTCTGGACAGCTGCCACTAACCAACCCTTCAAGAGTCGGTCCAGGTGTCACCTCCTTAAAGAAGTCTATGTGGACACACCTCCCTTACATTCTGGGCAAACGGCTCTCCTCTGGGTTTTCCTAGCATGCTCTATAACTGCTGTTTAATCGCTTTTCCCACCTCCTGTTGAAATTAGTCACCTCCAGGAACTACCTCCCATACCAGCGTATTCTTTCTTCTGATGCAGAGAACATGTCAGATTGTAAATCCATGCCCAGCACAGTGCCTGGCCACATGAAAGTTGCTTCATAAATGTTTGCTAAACTAAAAAGGTAATGAGATACACATTCAAAATATGAAACCATGTATGCTAGGTATTCACTTGATGTATTCTCTTTTGAGTTAAAGATAGATGTTTCTTTTTCAAGCAGCCAGCTCATGTAATTTTAAAAGAACATAAAGAGGTTTCTTAAATAAATTAGAGTATCGAGGTTCTAGTTATTATGAAAAGATAATGACAGAGTCTGGATTCTGAGAGAGCTTCTGCAGTTCAAACAGAAGTTACTTAAAAAACAAAAACAGAACAACACAAAACCGTACCTGTGGCTGCTCCCTGGGCTTTCCCCCTGTACAAAAATTAATTAAACAATAAAAAAATTTCATTAGCTGAAAATTATCTCAGGCAAGCTGGTAAAAATTTTATTTAATCAAAATATTTTCCACTTATTTATTTTTATCATAGTAAACAGCTTTGATTATTAAAAGTGTTTAAACCAAAAGCTTTACATTTTTACTATTTTTACAAAGGCAAAATGTATTTTAACATCTAGCTTAATAACATAACAATCAATTGCTGGACATACTTATTCTAACAAATATTTATTCTCCACCCAAGGGAACTCTGGGGTCAGGACGGTACCAGACAACATAGCTCCTGTGCCCTCACGGTTCACAGCTGGTCCTCACTGTCACGGACTCGTTCTGCACACTCACCATGAGCTAAAAGGTGTTTGTACGCTCAAAGCCAAAGCCCCTGCGGCTCTGCGGTCACTCAGACTTGCACAGAACAGCCGAATCCCCGCCCTGCCCCGTCTGTTCACTCCCCGCACTGGGGAGGCTGATGACTCTGCCTTCCTGTTTCGACTCTCACACTGTGTCCTCTTTCCAGTGCATTTCATGCCACATTTTTTGCATTTGTGTTTTTACTGGTGTTTTTACTGTTTAAAATGACCCCAAAACAGAGTGTGAAGTGCTGTCTAGCGTCCCTAAGCACAGCAGAGCTGTGACGGGCCTCATGGAAAAAGGCCACGTGTCAGATACACTTCATTCAGGCAGGAGTTCTGGGGAGTTCAAAGTGAATGAGTCAATAATACATATTAAAATAAGGTGTCAAACAGAAACATAAGGCAAGGTTATGTACCGGTCATCAAGCGACCAGAAGCGTGCAGGAACCTAACCCTTATCTCCCCGGGGAATGTTCCAGCACTGACTGAGCATCAGCGATTCTGGAGAACGTGACTTCCAGGAACGATGAGAGTCAATGTGTTTGCTTCCTTTCACAGGACATGGAACTACCTATAGTTTTCTCCTCCAAAGCAAACCATAACTAATTTCAAGACTGGTTTGGGCTTATGCATCTTTCTTATATAATTAAGCAATTCACATCTGACAGTCAGAACATATGAATAAGTAACAGCAAATAAAATTCCAAATGAATTTAGGAAATAGCACTTCAAAATAGTTCAACCAAACCAAACACAAAGTATGAAATGAGAGAGAAAAAGATTGGTTAGCAAAACGAAAACCACCAAGCAAAAAGCGCCTTAGGAAAACACACAGAGCCACAAAATCTTTTAACAAGCAGTAGGATGCTGTGATGGATAAACTGTACTGAAAGTTAAAAGAACTTTTACATTTATTTAGCATTTGTCAGAAACTTTTAAAATATCATGTTAAGTGTTGGCTTACACTGTGTTAAAAAAAAATACATGGAGATGAAAGTGGCCTTGGGAAAGGAAAAGCAGCTAGGTTCTCTGAAACATTCAAGTATTTGGGAGACATTTTACTGAGAACACGAAGGCTAAGGTAGTTTCCCAAATGTGTTCTATCAGATGGTAATAATATGTATTGTTATTTATAAAAAGGATTTAGACCCAAACTTAATTTGAGAAATACTGAGTTAACAAGTTTAAGTGATTTTCTTCTCAGGAACTTTAACAGGCCAATTTACACTCTGAGACTAACTAGTATTCTGCGCCCACTGGGAAGCACTGGGCTAAGGAGTAATTTAAATTTGGTTTGATATACTTTCCTGTTTTCTTAGAAAACAAAAATGACAAATGGTCAGAACTTATAGTGCTCTTGCAGTCTAACTCATTTTAGAGATGTGGAAAGTAGGCCCCAGAAGGTTAAGTAATTTGCAAAAACTCATAAAATTAGTTTAGTGAAGTTGAAAATTAACACAAACCAAAACTCCTATAACTATGCCAGTACATAAGAAACAGACACATTTCACTAATCCTAAAATGTACTTTTTAAAAAACATTTTAACATTTTTTGTATTTAGGATGCATCTTAAAATTGACTGAGTTTTACATGAGAAGAAATGCAAAGATTCACCCAAAATAACTGATAAAAAAAGATAATGGCTAAAGTCAGAAACTGACTGTGAAATGAACACGTGTAAATTCCACCCTCAGAAATTCAGGAAAACTGTGGTTACAGAATAGATCTGCTCTGGATAGCTGAGGGATTATACCCATTTAATGGCAAGAGCTTAGAAATATGCCTTGTTAAAGTTCCTTGAGTTCTAACCAATGCTTTAAAAACCCATTTTATATACCTATACCATTATATATGTAATATACATAACTGATATAAATTAAACTACGTATATAGCATTATATATGTTCTATAGTACACATTATGAATTATTTGCTGATGTAAATTAATAACAGGAGGAAATATGAAACTAAAAAGTAAAAATAAAAACCAAAAAATAAAATCTAAAATAAAATGAAGTAAATGCTAATTAAAAAATAATTAATCGTTGAACTAATTAGAGTGTAATTAGAACTATATGGATTTTGCACTTCTATGGAAATACTTACTTCATCACTTTCTACTAGATTCTCAAACTGAAAGAACAAGAAAGTAAGTGTTAGGAGAGATATCTAAAGTACACATCTCACAAAAAATTGTCTCTGTTTTACCTAAAAAATAATGTGCCTTTATTACGTGAAAGATACTTAGGTGAAGTGCCTTTTTATACATCAGTTCATTTGATACACTCAACAATCCCACAAGATAGCCAAGACATCTTTTTATGACTTTACATGAAAAACAAAAAGAATTACAGCAATTTTCTACATATGGCAGAAACTTATAAACAAAACTTTCACCTGAATTGAATATTTCATACAGATGTTTTAAACCCACACTGCCAGAATTTTCCACTGGAGCTCAGAATAAATACTCTAATGTCACAAAAAGGAAAACTATACAAAAAACAGGGACTGAAAATTTACCCAAACAAGCATTTCTCTTATAATGTTTATATTTATTTATCTATTCATTCACACAACTATTTACTGAAAATCTACCAGGTCATTACTCTCAGTAGAATGTCTTTCTAGAGACAGGAATGTAAATAATTTGATCATAATGAGATGAATGCCATGTCAAATCACCTAATAAAAGTCATTACTATTAAATTATACTATTAAAATATTTGTTTTAAATATAAATAATTTGATAAATAACCACTTGAAATAAAAATTGTTTTCTTGTCAATATCATTTTGTGTTTAAAGATCAAGAAAACGATGAATTCAAAAGGTTTAGAAAATACAGGAATCTAAAGGGATCACTTAAAACTGTTTAAAATTATAATCTTGAACTTAGTTTTCTGTATTGTCTTAAGATTTTTAAAAAACTACTTTCTGGCTTATCTGCTTCCTAATTTAATAAAGAAGGCAGGAAAGTACAGTGCTCAGGCTTTGGCAGTTTGGGGCTGGAACTTAAATTCTGCCACTTCCAGGCCGTGTAATACACCCAGCTTCCTCCTGTGTCTAAACCTCCGCCGCTCATCCACACACGGGGAGGACCGCCGCCGTTCACGGACTGTGGTAAGAATTCTGTGCAATGGCCTCATAAACGACATGGTGCAGTAGCTGCTCCACAGTACGGACTGAGCAAATGGTAGATTCTGTTATTGTGTTTTACATACAACGAAAAAGTGACTCAGCCGATTCTACTCGGAGGTGCTTAAAATAAGCTGGCTGCCTCGATTTGGCTTCCGGTACGCCTCTTTGGGGACAGGCAACCGTGAGTCTCTAGAACCACCGTCTTACTGAGCCAGGACTTCTGACAGGAGAGCACCCTGTCCCTGAGCTGTGAGGGTGGGGAGAACATCAAACAGCCACTTCTTAAGTAGAATTAGCGATTCTATTCCAGCAAGGTCCTCTTCTGCAAACTTCTCCTCCAGTCGCCCCTCCCCACCCCAAATCGGTCCCTCTCCACTGGCATCAATGATACTGAAATAGAAACAGTCCTTCCTAAATCTGTGCTCAGATCCTGCCCCTTAAAAAAAAAAAAAAAGTGCCCCTAAGGTACTGTTATCCAGTCAGATGGATGGCTGTACTCACCTCTATAGTTAAATGTTCACCTCTTGAGCATGTCCTAAAGTACTTGGATCTGGGAAGAAAACCAGAAAAACAACTTTAAAAATCACATTTAATCCTAAAACTTAATTAACATGCTGGGATAAAAACATTTCCTCAAGAGCAACTTTAAATTCCTTAACATATAGTACCTTGTATTTATAAAAAGGACCCCCCAAATTAGCCTAAGAATATAAATAGCCCTGATTTTTAACCTTAGTTGTGTTTAGTCAACCAATATTTTTCTACTGGTATTAATATTTACTAAACCTGTACTAATAAATTAATTGTCCTCTATTTACTACATACACAGAATACAAGTAAATTTAAAAATGTATCCAATCCCCCACCTCTGGGCAAAAATCAGTATAATTAATTAGGAAGCTATTATTACAGACAGGAGACTGCTATGCGCCTCTGACAGCTGAGATAAGAAAGAAAAAAGGGGGGCGGGCCGAGTGGCATGTTGGTTAACAGCTGGCTTGGGATGACATAGGGCCCCGGTTTGGATCCCACATATGAGGGCCAGTGACACTGTCCTCTATGGCTAAGATGCTGAACAACAGCTCAACCTGGAGCTGGGCTTCCGAGTTGCCGGCGACAACGTAGGCTGCAGCCCCTGTGGCAGTGGGTTGCCATGGGCTACCGTGTGTAGCCAGCAGCCAGCGTGAGCGGCCAGCAGCCGCAGTGAGCGGCCGTCCAGAAGCCGGCGACTGATCTGCCTCACCCGGGAAGAGCGCAATGATGGTGCCAACTTGGGCCAGTGAAGCGACGTCCTCCACAACTAGACTGAAGAACAAAAGGACAGCAACTTGTCTGTTCCCCTTCCCCGATTCCCCAATGCTGTTCCCTCCCCCAATTCCACAAGTATCTTAAAAAAAAAGAAAGAAAGAAAGAAAAAAGGGTATGAGTCCTGGAACTACACACAATACATAAAATTACCTCCAACAATACGGATTTAGTCCTAACAGCTCCTCTTAGTAAAGCAGTCGGTCTCCTACGTGACAATCACCTTGTTAAAAATGAGGACTGCCGAGCTCCACCCGCAGGTGGGATTATACTGTGCTGCTCAATGCTTTCTCTAGCCTTACAGCTGGTTATCTGTAGTGCAAGTCCCCATCTTCAAAGTTTGTGGGCCATTTTTGGTCCTTTGGTCTTCCATACAAATTACTAGAATCAGCTTGGCAAGTTGCAGAAAAATCCCACTAGGATTTGAATTGGAATCACACAGAATTCAGAACTTTCTGTCCATGAATATGGTATCATCCTCCAATTATTTAGGATTTTTGTTTTTAAATGTTGTTCTGGTCTTATACGTGTATTACTGATTTATTCCTAGTTACTTATATTTTTCATTGGTAGCATAGAAGGAAATTTTTAAAATATGCATTATCTGTTTGTTGCTGGTATATTTTATGGAAATTTTAATGTTTAATACAATTAAGTTTTGATACAAATATTAGATAGCATTTCACATTGACAAATTGGGGCAAATACCTGACACTACCAAGTGTTAGGAAGCGGAGCAATGAAAGCCCACTGTTCGTGAAAGTATAAACTGAAGTAAATATTTTGAACAGTTTGACATCTTCTAGTAAATTTGAAGACGTGCCTGAGCTATGACCCAACAATTCTGCTCCTGGGCATATATCCCCTAAAGAATCTCTTGCACACTCGGACAAAGAGACATCTATAAGAATGTTAACTGAAGTCCAAACTAATGTAAATACTCATCAACAGAAGGATGGATGATTAATTACGACCCGGTCACACAATAAACCCTACCCAGCAGGAAAAACGAATGAATGAGTCAAAGCCACATGTATGAAAAGGAGAATATTGAATGAATCCTTCAGTTGAGAATCACTGCCCTAAATCAAAGACTTCATCAATGTTTACTGTATTTAGAGTGACTACGGGAGTAAGAACACCACTCTTTCCTTCCACTCAGAGGAGTCCACTTGGGTTCACATAAGAAGCTGATCCTGCAAGTGCCAGGAGCCATGTGAGTCTGAGAGAAGTGAGTGGGGATAAAAGCACACAGAGGAGGGCCGGCCGAGTGGCGCGATGGTTAAGAACTGGCTTGGGACGCCAGAGGGCCCCGGTTCGGATCCCACATATGAGGGCCAGTGACACTGCCCTCCACAGCTAAGATGCTGAACAACAGCTCAACCTGGAGCTGGGCTTCCGAGTTGCCGGCGACGGCGTAGGCTGCAGCCCCTGTGGCAGTGGGTTGCCATGGGCTACCGTATGTAGCCAGCAGCCAGCGTGAGCAGCCAGCAGCCAGCGTGAGCGGCCAGCAGCCAGCGTGAGCGGCCAGCAGCCAGCGTGAGCGGCCAGCAGCTGCAGTGAGCAGCCGTCCAGAAGCCGGCGACTGATCTGCCTTGCCCGGGAAGAGCACAATGATGGTGCCAACTTGGGCCAGTGGGGCGACGTCCTCCACAACTAGACTGAAGAACAGGACAGCAGCAACTTGTCTGTTCCCCTTCCCCCGATTCCCCAGCACTGTTCCCATCCCCCCAATTCCCCAATTCCCCAATAAAAATCTTTAAAAAAAAAAAAAAAGCACACAGAGGAATGAAAGCAAACATGAGGTGTGCAATTAAATAGGAGTCGAGGCAGGAAACGATAGCCTGGATTAGAGAGGTGTCAGTGAGAGAAACAGATTCAAGAACATTTGGAAGATAAAAATCATCTGGTGCTGCGATGGACTGTAAAGTGAGATGGGGAGGGGCCTCCGAACCCCTGAGGTCGCAGCAGGGAAGCAGCAGGTACAAGACAGAAGTAAATGTGGCAAATCCAACACGTAACACTCGCCAGGAGTGAAAGAACAAGGGACAAAGTGACGTGAGACGCTGGAGTCCTCTGAGAACCCACCAGTATCACAAAATAGAGCTGAGCTCTGACAAAAATGGTTCAAGTCACATAATATGTAAATTTAATTCTCATGAATTCAGCCATATGCCCTGGAGGGAAGGGTGAGGTGAGAAATGATGTGGTCACCAATCTGCCCATCTATTCAGGGAGATATATATATATATGTAATATATATATATATATATATATGCATTATGATGAAAACTGAGCAGCTGAAACAAAGAGGCTGCAAGAACAAAGATGCAAAGAAAACAGAAGTCCGCCTCCCCCCTTTCTTAACAGTCTAGAGCTCCCCCAACGTCAGCCATGCACACTCCTTTACACATACGCCTTCCGTCCCTGAGAGCTGCCTGTAAATGAGGCAGAGTGAGTTTGTGTCCTGTTCTGCTTCTGACAAAGTGGACTCAAACATGCAAAGGAAAACCCGCACGGTGGGAAAGGCCAGCTGTCACACTTGGAATGATGGTGGCATGTAAAGGAATTTGGAAGAGTTTGAAAGTAATGTGGTCCAGAAGTGGAGATCTTGCATATGTATTTCTTTATCAAGGCAGATATCAAGACAACCTTTTATTAAGGGCAATATCAGTCTCGTCAAGAAAAGGCTGAAAATGCAGGTTTTCACGCTTCTACATGTTCTTTTGCATAGCATGTAAATACTCTTTTATAGCAAAGTGACTTAAGTAAAAGGTAACTGACAAATTCTCACAAATCCTACATTGGTATTGTTCCTTTTCTTCATATTCTCCTATGTAATATCTGTTAAAGTAATAAAGTCTTTCCCTCTATCTTCCGTTTGACATTGTAAATAAATGAAGAAGAACCATAGTAAACTATTCCTAAGTCTATTAAAAATTAAAACCTTCCCAAAGACTTTTTTTTCTGAACAAAACATTAGGGAGCTTACAAATCAGATTCCTGGCAAAAACTATTACAATGAAGATAATGAACACATCATTTTTCAATTAGTATCAAATACTTCGATGGAGGTTTAACTATTCCATGCTCAAGGCATGAACCACCAACAGATTTTCCATGTAGGGGTAGCACTGACAAAGGTCGTAATAATAAAGTAATAATATTTACTGTTTAATAAGCCCCTCCCTAATGAAGGCAAATTTAGGTAGAATGGGTGTTCAGAAATTTATTTCATATTTTGGAAGAGTAGAGACCAATCTTCCTGCTAAACGTGTCGAAGACAGAAAACATGGGTTAAAAAAGAAAACATGGGTTAAAAAAGTCCTTTAAGAGGAGCCTGATTTGGAGGAAAAGAATAGCCAGAAGGGCATCTGATATTGCTGACCACCCTCTTCTTTTAGAAACTGCTGTTACTTACGTGTCTATGATACTGAGCCTTCTAATTCGTTTCCCTGGGTTAAAGTACAAAAGTGAATAAAAACTCACCCATGTACCCAAGAGGCTTATGTTCTAACAGGGTAGACACACAGGTGAATTAACAAGTACCATGGGGGGCCGGCCAAATGGCTCAGTTGGTTAAGAGCAAGAGCTCTGAGCGACAGGGTCGCTGGTTTGATTCCCACATGGGCCAGTGAGCTGTGCCCGAGCTGAGCTGCCAACAGGTGGCAGGATGGCTCAGCAGATGAAAGCACACGCTCCTAACAACAAGGTTGCCGGGTTGACTCCTGCATGGGATGGTGGGCTATGCCCACTCGCAACTAAGATTGAACACAGCACCTTGGGCAGAGCTGCCCTGAGCTGCCGATGGGCAGCCTGATAGCTCAGTGGTTAAAGCGTGCACTCTTAGCAACAAGGATTCCAGTTCGACGCCCGCATGGCATGGTGGGCTGCACCCCCTCCCCACCCCACCCCCCGCAACTAAGACTGACCACAGCACCTTGAGCTGAGCAGCCGCGAGCTGCCAATGGGAAGCCAGATAGCGATTGGACTTGGAGCTGAGCTAGCTGCGCCCTCCACAACTAAGACTGAAAGACAACCTGGCTGTCTCCCTTCCCCAATTCCCCAACACTATTCCCCTTCCCCAATTCCCCAATTCCCCAATAAAATCTTGAAAAAAAAACACAAAAACAAGTACCATGGTCTGAGAAGAATATGTTCAAATGGGGGGCATCAACAGTCAGCCTGAGGAGGGAGAATCAGCCAGGCCCGCAAGTAGTAAAAAGGAATGTTTCAAGGAACAGC